ATCTCGTCGCGAGTCTAATCGTCCTTGCAGATTCGAGGTGAGTTTTCTTATTACTATTTTATAAACGTAAATTATTTCTTTTATAAATTGTTGCAATTTGTTCTTATTAATATCGTTCTATTAGAAGAGACGATAAGAATATGAGATAGAAATACGAAGCGTTGAGGTTTGATAAGTTTTGATAATAAATGGAATCTTCGATAATTGAAACTTATGATATGTAGAACGATGATTACAATGAACGATAACGCGTTAATAACAAACGGCGGTGCTTTGAAATAATGAAAATCTTTGCCGTTGTTACACTTGGAGCTCGTCACGTTTGATTTTGATCGAAAAGATAGAGCTTGCATCAGATATTAAATTTATTGGGATCATCGAGTGACTGCTAATCGATATCGATGAAACAATTTTTCTCGATCTAATCTAATATTTAATTTTACAATGCGTTTTATTGGTAATTGATTTGGTTCGTTAATAGAGCGAGTGAAATTTTCAATTACATTCAATATTCGTTGTAATTTGCGCGAAGTGAAAATTTTCAAGAAAGTACATTTTTGACGTTGAAAAATTCGAAATATCGTAATTGCAGCGAAATAAAAGGTGAACGATTTTTTTCCAGTTCGTTAAACGCGAGTTTCGCACCGGCAAGAAATTATTTAATGTTCTCTGTAATTTAAAATAGCACCGTGCCCATTTATAGCTTCATTTATAGAGGCGTATTATTCATGAAACGACGTGTTACACGCTCGTTTTTGGTAATGGATATTTCAATTGAATCAGGAAGGATCGAATGGTGTTGAAATAGGCTGATGCATACGTTGGTGAAACATTCATCAAGATCTTTCGTTAACGGTAATACGTGTAATTTAATCGCGCTGCAATTATATCTCAGTCAGTGTTTTTCACAATTACGTTTTCTGTATTAATTATTTCCAGATAATGAGTTTTATAATTACTAAAGATACGAATGAAATCGTTCGTAACACGCATTATTCCGAGCTCGAAAATAGAGTGTTGCATTAATTTCTTTTTTTTTTTTTTTTTTTTAATTGAAATTATTTTTTGAAGCAATAAAAATTTATTAGACATGAAACGCGAAAATAGTGCACAATTCGATTCAACTCGAGTATAAATTGAAAAAAAGGAATAAATATATCGATTCATAAAATTGAGCTTTATTAAGAGGATTATCATACAGCGTACAATAAAACGGATATAACAGAAAATCTAATATTTTTAAACTGGAAAAAAATTCGAAAACTCATTCGGTTATCTATTACTTTTCACATATCCCAAAATCACGATTCGTTATTCGCATAAAATCATATATTTGTTAATCATTTTATTTGTTTATCTAATGGGATACGTTTTTTTATTTTTATTTTTTTTAATTCATTTTTACGCCTCTTAATACACCTTCAATTATGAAAATTTAATTTCATCGGATGAATCCACTAGATAATGACCCTTCATTAGCGAGATGAACTTGGCTAAAAGTTTATAACGAAGATTTATCGCGATCGTCTCGTGATACATGCTCATTTCGTTTCTACTTAATCTTCATTAAAATCCAAGTTTGATTTGATGTTATTAAAGAATTTTATTTTTTAAATCATCGCAAATTGAATGTATCGAATAAGTTCAATCGTTGAAATCTTCTTTTCGAAAACTAATTAATCAATCACGAAAAAAAAAAGGAAAGAGAGAAAGAAAAAGAGATTAAAAAGCAATTAGAAACAATATCTGCGAAGAAAAGAAAAGGCGCAGAAAGGGCGCATCATATAAACCAATATCGGTTTGTCGACGGATAATCGCGTTACGCGAGCACAACAACATTGTTCGTCGAACGTGGTTGTTCGCGCTCGTGTAACGAGCTACGATTAAATTCACGAGGCTCGAGGAGCAGTGGAGGAAAACGGAAGGACAACAGGGAACTAAATGCATAAAAAGTTGTTAATTTGCTCTTAGGCGCCGGCTATTTTACTCGATTATGCCACTTGAGCTTCTATAAAGTTGTCCCCGCGGTATCGAACCCACACCTCTTCGCTTGTCGGTTGCTTCGAACCGAGACGCTCGCTTCCATCTCAACGGCGCCTGCTCGCCAACTTTATATTGGCTTAATTGGTTTTAGAGGTGAAACTTTAGAGACCCTTCCTTTTTTCTTTCGACTTCGGTGTTCGTATTGCGCCCTCCCGCAAACGTTAACCATCGATACGTGGACAAGTCGCCGCGTCAATATTTTTTCCACTATGGAACTAACTACTAAAGGTGTGGGTATAAAATTGTTTTTATATAGAGAAGAGGGAAGATAAAAGCATCGGAAAAGGATCGTTTTTAATCGTTTATTATCTCCATCCTCCGTCAACTGGCAAAGAAGTAACTTCCTCTCGTTGATCTATTCCAAAAATTTTCATTCCTTATATCTCGCTAACTTTTAAGCGAGTTTAAAAGTGAGTTTACAAAATTTTCAATTTCTTCTCGCTTTTTATATTAAAGCAACCAAAATTTCATTACGTGATTTCGCGTAAATACAATAGTCTGTTGTTGCAATGCAACAATATCTATCTAATCTATTGATTATATCCGCAAACTGGTGATTGTATCATGCACAAGTAAACGTATAAATATTAAATTCAGATGAATAAACAAAATTGTCTTTAGAATCAATGTATATGTCGGTATGATAGTTATTGCTTTGAGGTATCAAATTATCTAATTCAATATCGTTTCAATATTTAATGCTATAAATTGATGTGCTTATGCAATTAAAGAAATATATAATGCAGTTATAACGATACATATTTCCTTCCAGGTAAACACATGACTAAATTAAACTTTATTAAGTTATAATTTAAGTGAGAATGATACACGTGCGATAAATATAAATATATACGTGTTTTGCAATTGTATAATAAATGGGATATAAATCAATACAGTCGTTTGAAATTTATATTAATGGCGAAAAAATCAAGGCATATATATTAATCTCTGTATCTTTTCATTTTATTACATTAATGTTATAAAAATAGCACCCAAATTTATCGTAAAAAAAAAATAACAGCTAATTTTTCCTTACGAATTTATACATCGTATCAAATTGTTTCACAGTTTTAAAACCTTCAACCTTCATTACACGCTTTACATTACCAAAGAGAAATACAGAACGTGTTTCACGATATTTATTCGCATATTTATACGGTATATAAGTCCGGCAATTTTAATAAATATTAATATAATATTACAACGAAAAAGGGAAAGGAAAGGGTATGAGATTTAAATAAAATGAAAAACAATTCGAATTCTTTATTAATTGTGATAATTATTATTCAGTTTTTTAAAGGTTATTTTATTTATCGAGATCTTTTTCATCATTGATCATTATTGAACGTACAATACACTTTCAATTATTAGTAAAAAAAATCAAAAATTCATTTACTGTCCTTTCTATATTGTTCTCAATTTGTGTGTTGAATATTTTAAAAGATTAAAATTTATTTATCCTATCGAAATAATAATCTAATAATGTTTTAATATCCTAACGATATATTTTATGTTTCTTTTAACGTTTTAGTACGTTTATTTATTTGTCATATATTATTAATTAATTGAAAGTACTTATGAAATACTTTTCGGATTATTTTTTAAAAAAAGCGAGAAAAAAGAATTTAATTACGATTTTTTATTCGCAAATATCTTCTCTTTAAATCATCACGAATGGTAGAAAGATCAGAGAAAAACTTTCTAATATTTCATCGGTGCAATGTAACACGAATTTGCATCGTTACCACTTTCATTCTTTTTCCATATTTTTCTACAGAAGCTGGTGCAATACGGAAATATAAACGATCTACATCATATGCTCGCATCACACGTTTTTCGTGAATACCTTCGTGGATATTTTCATATATTATGTTCATAATATTCGGTAAATAATTTCAAAAACGATAAATCCTACTAAAAAATCACTTGTCGCTTGTTTAACATCACCGTATAATCATATTATACCTTTAGGATAAAAATATCAACGGATTAAAACTCACCGAATTACAAAATGTTAATCGGTCTCGCGTAACGAATTCCCTCAATTTTGACGATACTCGCTCCAATTTCTATTAAAAAGCTTTGCTTTCGTCTGGATAGATGGAAAAAAAAAAAAGTTAATCGTTAATTTTGTTAATTTTTAAATTCCAAAACGCGAAGGTATTTCTACTTACACGCATTTAAACATAATTTCCTCCACTCCGACGTATTTCTCTCAGTCAAGCCAAACTCGCCGCGATACCTTAATACCTCGGCTCCCTCATAATGGAAAATATAACTTTATCGTACAGAATATTAAATGTCCCCGGCGAAGATAGCGCGAGGTGGTGGGATGGTGGTGATGCAGATCGCGGTTGAAATTACTATTCCAATTGCATCTTTCCACGGGTAACGCCCGTGGCTAGGAGGAACAGGAAGAAGGGTTAAGGCAGCTGGAAAGCTTAATTTGTTGGAGATAGTAAAATCCGTGGGTTTAATACATATTTATAAAGCGCATTAATGTAACCTAAAGAATATTCATGAAAATCTTTCCAAGTCCTCTCTCTCACTCTCACTCTCTCTCTCTCTCTCTTTCTCTCTTCTCTCTTCTTTCCGCGTCTCTCGCGTTTCTACATCCGCCTCCCATTTTCAAGAAAACAGAAGTAATACGCCGGGAACTAAGGGCAGATGTTAGACCGGGCACCGATGCAACTTATAATCTTCTTCATTCCGTGTTGTGATTTTCTTTAGTGGAATGGTGGAAAGTCGCCTTTACAGCTTCCCGTTTGAAACAGTGAAAGCTGGCGGGGGCGACGGGAAGACAAGGGAAACGAAATGTTGTTTGGGGAGAAGATATTTAAGAAAGAAGAAGTGCATGTTGAAACGTTTTAGTCTGATTTATTTGCAGCCTCTTGATATTTAAGATTTAATATTCCGTGATATTTATCATAATATTCAAAAGTAACACTGATAATTAATACGATTAAATTCATAGATATTTTATTTGGAACGATATTTTATCCAATTATGACAACGATATATCAGAAGTTTTACAGTATTTAGATAGGAAAGAACATTTCGGTAAATCTTTGAAAAAGATTCAAACAATATTGTTGCGATATTATATCTTTAAAGAAATAAAAAGAAATATTTTACCTTCTTTGGTACAAATATTACATAATATTATGACATGACAATAAGAGAACTATATATACGAGAACAAATATTCCTTCGTGTTTCTCTCTGGTTAGCTCTTGGCGTTTTCGGTATCCGAATATATTGATAATATATTCGACGTTTGTTATACACGATCATCGTTTGGTTTGAAGAGCGTAGGCAAATGTTAATAGGACCTTTATTTTTAATTTCAATTACATGGGAATAACTGATATCGTTTAAATCAAAATCTTCTCGAATTTCTAAATCTTCGCTCCTTGGATTTAAAAATTCGTTAACCATTGCAGACATGCTATCAAAAAAAGAGAAAATAAGTTATTAAAGATTAAAAGGTAACAATGTTGAATTATAAATGTACAGAAATTGATAAATTCAATTGGCAATATCATTATGATCTTACGGGACACATGGCTGCTACTTCCGGAAATCTGCATCGTCTTTTATAAAAGATGCCACACTTGGATGGATCCTTAAAGGAATCGAATTCAAGTAATTTATATAAATTTTATACGAGATGAAAAATATTGTAAAATAAATTGTAAAAGGAATATATTCTGCTCACCGCTTCAACGAGTGTTATAAAACAACAAAACATCAGAATGACAGAGAGCAGCACGAGGAACGTTTTAATTATTTGATGCATGTTTATCGAATTCTTGATATTCAGTATATTGACACGTCTATACTTCCGCTTTTTGTATATATAATCATCGTTCAATGCCATAGAAAATTTAGATAAATGTAAAAATGTTTACGCGTGTTTTATGCGATTGTGCTGTGAACAACAACTTTTCGTGACTGTTGTGTTACAATTTATTATTTTACGACGTGATACGAAGTTCGATGTGACGATATTACGAGATGTATTATTAATTCGATATTTTTTTTTAGTCGCATTATATACAAAAATATAAAAGTATGGAATATAAAAGTAAGTAAGTGAATATTTCTAACAATGCGAATATATTTTAACATTTTTACTTCTATGAATATGATTTTAATATACGTCGTCTAAAAAATGTGAAATGAAATAGCGGTAATATTTCCTGCTTATCAAAACGGCAGTTTCTGCTTATCTTTCAGTTATATTAAAGTAACATAATACTGAGATAACAGTAAACGTAACGAAGCAGAGACTTAATACGATTGTTTCGTATATTTTCTCTATTGTTATAACGTCAATATTTCTTAATAATAAAGTTAATTTTTCGTGACGATCTTAATACAAATATCAGATAATAAATTTTAAGAATATAATATATATAATAAAAATATATAATATTAAGAATGATAATAGAAACGATGATGATTATTATTGCAGATTATATATTTTATTTCCCATTTTTAATTACATTTCATTTTAATTAGAATTTTTGGTTACATAAAAAGAGTTAATAATAATCATAGATTTCATTATTGAATTGTAATATATATTATTTTGTTCCTCTTCGATCGCAATCCTAATAAAAAAGATATTATCTATTAATTAAATTTAATAAATTATTAACTTTTATAAACAATTTAACAATATAAGTATTTTGTAACGTACGAGGCAGAAAGCATGCTCTGGTAAGAGTGAGTTACAATTGCATATCTAATAATAAAAAATTTATGATTACTTATTATTGCAATTATTTAAAAAAAAATTTTTCATCGATAATAAAGTATTTTTTTTTCTTACTACACGTGCTTCAGCTGGAATAAGGACATAGGCTGATATAAGAAAAATAAACAAACAGAAGAAGTATCTTAATGGTTGATTCATGTTGTCCGTATAATTCTCAATACTATATTAATAATTCCTTTCTTATATATATATTATTTTCCTGCCAGAAAATATTGAACATGCTCACATTAAAAAATATTTATGAAATGTTTAAATGATATTTTCGTGACGATCGTGATTCAAATAATTCTTTTCTTATGCAATTAAAAATTATCTTACTAATATAAATCTCAATTTTTGAGTATTTAATGTCATTTATCATTATTCAAAATGTCGATTATTCTTACAAAATCATTAAAATAGAATATGAATGATAATGAATAATAAATATATGGATTCAGCATTGCAATTTGATTAATACGATTACATATTTTAAAAAGCCCAGTTCCTGTTTTAGGTCAACCTTTATGCAAACAATTGCTATATTTCTAGCAATAGAAAATTTATTAAATATTTTTAGAATTATTAAAATATTAAAATTCTATGATAAAATAATATAGAATATAGAATCGTTTATTTATTAACACGCTTTATTAACACGCTAAGATAATCTGATATAAATATAATAATCAAGAGGAGAAAAATAAAAGTTTAAATTGCTTCATGTTGCTTCATATTTAATTTTCATACGGTATTAATACTTTTTTTTATTTTTTCTTATTATTATTTTGTATATAAAAATTCTTTTATTCTTATTATTTCTTATTTCTTATTATTATTTTATATAAAATTGTATTCTTCGTATATAATTCTTTATGCAGCTTGAACGTTGTATATTTTAAACAACCTAGCTGTTTAAGGTACTGTCACGTTTAAAAGAGATACAGCAATACTGAAATAAAATTTTTCGTGACGAACGTGTTACGGATACAAAAATTTATGACGCGATAAACTTTTCCCATGTTATTAGATGCGATAAAATATATAACGTATAATATTAGAATATTCGCATTTATTTGCATTAATTTGTTTAAATAAAATAAAAAATCGTATAAATATTTAATCCCATAAAATATTATGTTATTACGTACGTTTCAAAATTACAAGAAAAAAAAAAGTAATAAATATTTTGATGTTTTTTACTTTTTTATTTATTATTTTAATCCATTAATTCATAAAGAAGATTTAAGAATATAAACAAAATATTTCATAACCATGAAAAATTATATTTTACGATAGTATCAAGAAAAGAATCAAAATATTAAGATCCGATTAATATTGAATCAAATAGAATCAATTCTCCACAGTATATAAATATTGGAATTGCAATTACATTTTGAAATGAATATTTAGTGTTCATTTATAAGATACACATATATATATATATATATATATATATATCAAACAAATCATTAATAATAATTTAGTTTAATATTTCATTGAAATAACAGTTTATATTTATGATTACTTCAATTATGTCCAAATACGATAATACTGAATTCATAAGTAAAATGAAATGGAATTTTTAAGAAAAGTTATCCAAATGTTAAATTAGTTCTGAAAGAATAATGATTTCGAGAAAGTAAAGTGACTTTCCAAGAACTGGAATAAGTGTCACTCGCCCGGAAAATTCTGGAAAATTGAGTAAAAAAAAAAAGAAAATGTCATGAAAGTTAGAAACACCTTTGATAATAGATATAACTTTTTTATTATAAATTTTTTATTCTTTCAGTTTTTTTAAATACATGCACGCAAAACTATTAAAAAGAGAAATGAAAATTTGAAATGAGAAAAATTTATCATTAGTTTATTTGATATATTTTGTACATATTACTTGTATACACTATTTGGTTAAAAGTTTCATTTTTATTTTATAGAAAGTTACATACGAAAGTTTGATAGATATTTCTAGCAATTAAAGTGGAACAACGATATAAGTACATTATTAAAAATAATAATATAATTGATATTCTTTATTACGCGATAGTAAAATTATAAATATACATATATATTAATTTATAATTATCATATTTACGTATATTTCTAAAATAAACAAACACTGGGATTGCTAGAAATAAATAAGAAGTCTTTCAAATCAAAGAATTTATTTTTTAATAATATAGAGATAACATATAGAGATTAACATATAGAAATATAATATAGAATATAATATTTTAAATTCAAATAATTCATTATAACCATTTTGACGAATCCAATTTGCAGAAATTTATCCATGCTGTTGACAACGTCTCTATAAAATAAAAATAGAATTAAAATATAATATGAAAGTAAATAATGATAAATTAAATTTATTCATAAATTTAACGTACTGCGCAAAGTGCAGTTTCTGGTGCCTTACAATTGCAAGACTAAAAAATATAATAAAATTCAATATAATACAATATATCTGTCAAAAATATAAAAATAATCAAATAAAAAACTTATTTATTAGTATTATTATTCTCAAAGAAATATATATAATATTGTACAGTATTGTATAGCCTATATATTTTACCATTACTGGTGTCACAAAGTAGCTTGTTATTAAAATAACAGATAAAAACAAGGAAATGCATCTCAGCATAGAAATCATTTTGTTTCGTATGCAATTGAATTGTTATACTTAGTAAAAAATTATTCTTTATTCCAAGCATTTAACTAATGTATGTTTATATACAAGAAGATAAGTTTTTGCATTAATTGTAATAAAATAATCTTTTCGTGAAAAACATTATTCAACAATAAATTTAAAGAGATTAAAATTTATGTAAAAACATGCATAAATTATTATCTATATATCTCTCAGTTATAGAAATCATAACGAAATTTATAATACAGAAATTTATTAAATCATATTGTAGCTTATAATAATTCACTGTTACAATTATAAACTGGTATGATTGATACAAACTTCTTATTCCAATAATGCAACAAAAAATTGAAATAAATGAAAATAAAGTAAATGAAAATAATGAAAGAAAATTAGTTATATTAATATGATCAAATAATATTAACTTACATCGCTTGATAGAGATGGAAGTATAAAAATTTATCTGGGCCTTGCACATATTTTCTATAAAATAAAAATAATATAAAAACTATGAAAATAATTATTTAAAAATATGTTTAATATATTATACATACCCTACAAATATAAGGTTTTATAACATTCCTCTTACAATTACACACGATAGACTAGAAATAATCAATCAAAAAAATTTATTTATTATTTTATTCTTAAGAAATATTATTCATAATATCATATATAAATATGATGTAAGTATATACTTTACCATTGTTGGTGTCACAAAATAGCCTGTTATTAAAATAATAGAGAGAAACAAGAAAATACATCTCAGCATGGAAATCATTTTATTCCATATGCAAAATTATTGTATTTAATAATCAATGTTTTTCTTTATTCCAATCATTTAACCAACGTGTGTTTATATACAAGGAAATAAATTCTTGCGTGACATTAATTGCAATAAAATAATCTTTTCGTGAAGAACATTATTCAACAATAAATTTAAAGAGATTAAAATTTATATAAAAACATGCATAAATTATTATCTATTCAGATAGAAATCATAACAAAATTTACAATGCAGAAATTTATTAAGTCATATTGTAACTTATAATAATCCACTGTTACAATTATAAACTGAGATTATAAATTTGATGCAAACTTCTTATTCCAATAATACAATAAAAGATTGAAATAAATAAAAATAAAGCAGATCAAAATAATAAAACGAAATTGATTATATTCATATGATTAAATAATATTAATTTATATCGCCCGATGGAGATGGAAGTGTAAAAAGTTTATCCTTTCTTCCCACATGTTTTCTATAAAATAAAAAAATATAAAAATTATGAAAATAATCATTTAAAAATAGTTCAAATATGTTTAATATATTATACATACCCAACACATATGAGGTATTATTTTCCTGTAACATTTACACAGAGCAGACTAGAAATAATCAAAAGAATTTATTTATTATTGTATTCTCAAGAAATATTATTCATAATATTATATATAAATATGATATAAGTATACTTTACCATCGTTGGTGTCACAAAATAGCTTGTTAGTAAAATAATTGATAGAAACAAAAAAATAAATCTCAGTACAGATATCATATTGTTATACATACAATAATATTTTAGTTAGTAATACAATATTATTAGTTATCAATAGTAGTAATATTTAGTATTAGCTATCAATGTTATTTTTCATTCCAAGCACTTGATCAATGCGTTCTTATATATAAGCAGATATATATTTCTTACATGATATTGTTTGCAATAAAATAATCTATTCGTGACAAACATAATTGCATTTTTCGGATGATAAATTTAAATATGAGAATAAAATTTTTATAAGAACATACGTGGTATAAATTATTATCTAAGACAGATATAGAAATCAATAAGACAGATACAGAAATTTATTAAATCACATTACAGTACCATAACTTATTGCTACAAATATTAAACAGGCTTTAATTTATTTTTATTTTTTTATAAGCGCTGTAAGATATTACAAGTAAAAATTATAGAATGAAGCTAATTCTTCATTAATTAAATAATATTAACTTATCTGAGAGGAATCGTTATTACTTTATATCTACAATTACACATTACAGATTGTAATAATTGTATCAGAAATTGTTTTTATATCATATCAAAAATACATCACGTTTCTTTTATTTCGGCTAGAATGACGAAACATCCTATTATTAAAATAGAACAATAGGAAAAAAAAAAAGCATAAAGTTCATACTATATTATAAAACACAAATATAAAATTATATGATCTTCGATAGTAAAGAAAACAGTTCGTGTTAGAAGTAAAATTAAATTATTATGCAATAAATATTGTATGATATTGAATATATTCTACGTTTGAAGTTGAAATTACTTCCACAAATAAAAAGTTGTTAAAATTTTAATTGTTTTGAGTGATAAAAAAAGGTTTAAACTATGTTATTTAATAATTTTTAGATAGAAATTCGAGTAATTTTAAAGTTTCGATAATAAATCGTGTTCATTTTGACAAATTATCGTTTAACTACCCAAGCTGTTTTCTGTCTATCAGAGACAAAAAAAGAACGCTTGAACTTTCGATGAGCTTGCATGTTTTGCCACGTCATGCCGAGTTTAACAAATAACGTGCCAATACAAAAACACAACGATTAGTGAAATAAATTTTCATTTTTTTTTTTCATTTCTTTCTTTTATTCATTTGGACGTGTTTCTAAACGAAATTATTTAAGAGATGATTAATATCATCGCGTTTAAATATATATCCTATTGTTATTCAAAAGGGATACACATTTGAAACAGTGCATGTAAAAATTCGGAAACATTTAAAAGTTAATTGTACTTTAATTCATCTTTCGCAGTTACTATTGCCGAATAAAATATGCGCGAATCGAATAATCAATTTCATCAACAGAGTTAAATTTAAATTAATTATTTTATTATTTGATTCCGGTGTTAATTAAAAATTGAAATGTTTACGGGAAAGTGTTATTGCAAAGTATATTTATAAATGAATTCAAAAGCTTCCAGTCAGTATTCTGATATTTCTGTTTTATTGTTCTTTGTCAATGATAATAATTAATTGTGCAAAATGATCGAACGTGAGAATCAAAAGATAACATTGATACAAGCAATATTTTATTTGATTCTATTTTTTCCTGTTAATTGAATATGAAATTATTTATATGGGAAAAAATATATATTGATTTTGGATTCATTGTTTATAAAAATGACATAGCTCGAAAATTACTTTAAATGATTATAAAAAAATCAAAATGCTAAATTTAATATTCATAGAATAATAATAATAAATATAACATTAACAAAAACTTATTCTAATTAAGGTAAAATTTTTAGATTAGTTTTTAGTTTAATATTCATAATAGAATAATAATAATAAATATAACATTAACAGAAACTTATTCCAATTAAGGTAAAATTTTTAGATGTTAGCTTACGACTCTTAAGTTCTGAGCATGAAATGCATAAAAATTTTCAAATTTTTTAATTACTGATAGAATTTTATCAGTAAAAAGATAAAATCAATAACAATTTTTTCCTTCAAATTTTTCAAAAAACTTCAAATTTTTATCTACGCCATTGTCGAATAAACGCGTAATAATTTATTCACCGAAATTGCGTACAAACATGGCAATAATATTTTTTATTATATCCTCTAAGGAACATGTATTTACATACTTTCAAATGCTTATACCTACATCATAGAGTATATAAACAAAAAGGAGGATTGTTTTCTTCGTTGAAGTATCAAGAGTCACGTGGAAACATCTAGCTCGGGATCATTTCGCGGATATACGACTTTCACAACGTTCTCGGCCGGAATGGGAGTGAGTTCGGTTTGTTGGGAAAGTTTCGCGACTTAAGCTCTATGCTTCGTCTTTCTTCTCGTTCGAGAAACACGGCGTCTTCAGCGTATCTAAGGAAATCCTTAGCCCAGGTATCACAAAGTTATCACAAGACAATGGAGAGCAGATCAGGTAACTTAGTGAACAGCGCAAAATCGAACTCAAGGGTCGCTTCTGTCGGCGTAGATAAAGTTACCCCCTTTAGTCGTTCTTTCTCTCTCTCTCTCTCTCTCTCTCTCTCTCTCTCTCTCTCTCTCTCTCTCTCTCTCTTCCATTCTTCATTTCCCTCTTACATCATCCCTTCCCTTTATCCCGTCGCTCTCCTCCATCGAAACGCACCTTCTCCCTTTATATTTTAGTTTTTCTTACCCTCTCTTACTTTGTTTTTCTCTTTTTTCTCTTTTTTTTTCCCACCCTCTTCCTTCTTCCTCCTTCTTTCAACGTAAGTTTCTATCTCCTTTGGCGTTTTCACTTGAACGAATAAGAGAATACGTGTTTCAAAGAGAATCTTGGTTTCCACATTGATTCTTACAGAATGTGCCGAGGTCTGATATTTTCATTCTCTTTTTTTTTTTTTTTTTTTTCCTTTTTCTTCTTCAACCGAGATTTCTTTCGAACCAAGAGGGAATATTGTATATTACGGGAAAATGAAAAGTTCGAGTAGCTAGATTCGAAAAGAGAATCATAGGAGAGGCTTCGATAAACGAAAGTTTCGAGTGAACTTTAAACTTGCGGTAATTTATTATTATCAGTTAGAGGAGACATGCTTCTTTCGAAGGTAAATTGAACGCTCTCTACGAAAATTTTCCTAATATCTTGACAAATTCAATTTCATAACCGATATCTTGGCTTACGAGCACCGTCAAATTAGTCCACGTTTGTCCAAAGTTTACCCGTGCACGTGAAATCAAATTTCCCCTTTTGTTGGCGAGTTACAACGGGGTGAAATTTACCATGGTAATGAGGGACAGCCGAAAAATATGTACCACGATCCACCCGCTATGAAATCTTGTAGATTTACATAAGAGTCTCATTTGCATCAACTTATTAAATTTTTACCATGAGCAGTAAAACATCGTACGTTAGATACGAGGAGAACTACCGGCAGGTGGACTTAATGTGTTTTAATACAGGCACCCCCCCTTTTTTTTCTTTTCTTTTTTTTTTTTTTTTTTTTACGAGAGAACTCTCGAGCAGCAGAAAGCGTAAAATACATCGCGTCCGTTATATTCCGACCTTAAATTTGCGTAATGATAACGCTTCCACCCTCTGGCCGTCTCTTCCACCCTATTTCTTTTCTTCGCCACTCTTATTTTCTTTCCTCCTCGTCTCCAAGTTTTCGTACACACACACACACACACACACACACACACACACACATACTCTTGTCCACCAAGTGTCATTCGTTACGAGGTTTCCAGCTTAAATGCGCATTCACAATGAATTCGACGCAATTCCGATTCGCCACGTCTCATGCAAATACTCGTTCTTAAATGAGGATGGCAGAAAAGCACTGCATCAAGGATCAACCTCCTTTGTCCGCAGCACCGTCAGCTTTCTCGCCACTGTAAGAACAATAAAATCGAGTGGCGTTGCTCCTCGCCGGCGCGAATTTAAAAGGGTAAATTGAACGCTGGTTAAGCGACATTTGCATTAAACAGGGGAACGTGGCTCGTTCACGAAATGTTTGGCGATGAAATAAAAATAATCCTTTCCTCGATCGTCGTATAAAAACGTCTTCGCTAAAACTTCTAATTGAACTTTCGATTAATTTCTGCTTGTTCCAGTGGAATTTTTTTTAACTTGGAGGAGTATCAAAGTGAACCGATTATCCGCTAGAAGATTATCCGAATTTTGAATTTATTCAATGACTGAGAGATTTCTCTTGTGAGATACGTATATATTTTTAATAAATATTTGAAAATTATTCGAACAGCTATTCGATAAGAATTTGTTTCCTAATTCAGAGAATCGATGTTATATTGCATATCATTTAATGCAGACAGGAAATTGAATGTTATTTGAATATCATGGTATTTTATTTACTAATAAAACTATAACTGAGACTTCCTTTGGCCACCCGTTTGCTCGCTCCACCAAAATACAGCGATTTATGGTTACGAGTATAATTTTATGAACATAACCGAGTAGTTATAATTACGCGTTTCTTGCGCAGTTGCTCCAAAGATCCACTTTACGTGCCGTGAACTTTCGACCGTGTACCACTGTGTCATTTACCCACGGCAATATCATACGATAATTTCCTGCGGAACAATGAAATCGCGCCACTGTTCAAAGATACAGGGACCAATAAACTAACTTCCTTGATAATTTCGAACGATATAACTATCAACGCCATACCTTAATTGTGATTACGTTGCATTGGAACTTGCAACGTAAAGATAACACATAAAATTTTGAAATTTTATTTACGATTCTTCGAGAATAATTCGAATATACGTTTGATTTTACGAAATTAATTTTTTTTTCCAGAAAAATTGGAAAAATCGATTCGATCGAAAAATTATTTACAATAGAATTATCGAAGGAGAGAAGTTTAATTTTATATTGCATAAACTATCCCCTCTTGAACACGCATTACCTATCCAACGTGTATATATTACACAACGGATTACAAACTTTGGTCTAGATGCGTTCCTAGACTATTAAGCTGTAATTAAGGAGACGCCGAACTTGAATGCAATTATATTCTCGAATTTGTTTCAACAAGTTACGATCGATGGTGCAAGATCATTTACAATGGAACGAAATACTCGAATAAAATAGAAAT